CAACACTATATTTCACAGAACTAGAAAAAAGAATCCAAAAATTCATTTGGAACCACAAGAGACCTAGAATAGCAAAAGCCATTATAGGCAACAGTCACATGGCACCAGGTGTAACAATTCCCAATTTGAAACTATACTACAAAGCCACTGTGATAAAAACAGCATGGTACTGGCAAAGAAATAGGCCTGAGGATCAGTGGAACAGACTGGAAGACACAAAAATGAATGCAGATGTACTCAGCTACCTCATCTTTGACAAAGGAGCTCACCATCCTCAGTGGAGGAAAGATAGCCTCTTTAATAAATGGTGTTGGATAAATGAATCTCTTAACAGCAAGGTTACACAATTACTGAAGCTCTAACAGTAATCAGGTAGAAGCCTACTTTCATGTCTGTATACTACTTCAAAGATTCCACACAAAGATCACACCAGGACCACCCAAGTGATCTAAACAGGTATGAGATACAACAGAGAACTCTTCCAATGTTTGTTTATAGAAGTGGATGAAAGCATAAAACTGTAAGCCTCCAACAATCTATGAAAATAAATTAATTTAAACTGACTCTTCCAGATTCAATTTTCATCTCCAGCAGCAGCTACTAAAAGCGTCATTGTCATAAAAATGTTAAAAAAATTAGCAAGCATTATTATAATGTAGTCATGTTGTTATTTCTTTCAAGTAATACATATTTTTGTTCTCACCCTATAAATATCTCCTACTAATACCTGGAAATCTATTAAAAGTTAATGGGATATAATGAAAGTTATATTTGATTTGAAGTCACAAATTTCAGGCTGTTCTGAATTCACACTTACTGGAGAAAATTCTGTTTAAAATGTCTGGCCCTCACTTTACGTATCTATTGAGTAATAGTAGAAATTACCAAAGAATGTAATTGCAATTTTCAAAATCACATCATAGAGCACTTGAATCTTTAAAAAGTCCAAATCCTGGGGGAAACTGACAAAGTGAAAGAAACCCTCCACACACTCCCCACCTGCTCACCATTTGAATGTAGGCTGTAAGAGGTAAACACATTCACTGGACAAAATCAGTCACGTCTTCAGATCGATTTTCCTGGCTAGACTATTACTGGAACGAAAACTACTAATTAACTACAGTATAGTGTCATATAAACAAAGCTATGATATCATCCAAGTTCAGCAAGTACCTCTACCCCTCAGTGGCTACATAACCACATGTACACTCACCACAATAGCTGATGCTAATTTCTCCTTACCTCATAAATAAGAGGAAGCTTGCCATCAACTTGTTCTTTCATGGAAGCTTAGTCATTTAGAATTGAAATTCTGAGTACCTATTTATAAACCAAAACTCCAAAGTCTTCATTTCACTGAACAGGAAAGTTAAGCACAGAAGATGTGACTTTTGCCCAATGCCACAGAGTTAACTATTGAGAAAGCTAGGTCTGACCAGGTCTGAACACTTCGTCATCTACCAGCACTGGAAGAAATTAATCTGAGAGTAAATGGTACCTCTTGGAGAACTCTCTTCATCTTTAATAACAACGTCTTCACTGCTGTGCAGTCCTGTAACATCAGTCTGAACGGCAGTGGATCTATACCTCCATAATCCTCCACACTCTGCAGCGGCCAGTCTGCAGATGGACTGCTGGGCACTCGGCTGATGTGGGCCCATCTCGAGTCCTGGTCAATATCTCTTGTTAATTTCAAAGAAAGTTTCCTAAAAGGGAAAAAATTAATAGAAATTAAAATGCAACATGCTTCGATGATTTTTCCTAAACTGTTGATCAATATCATTAGTAGGCTATAAAAAATTTTGGTGAATCTCAACATTCCTCATATTCTTCTCTGAAAATACTGACTTTCTGAGAAATTCTGAAATGAGTTAATTATATATTTAATGGTAAGATTCGACTGCAATTACTGTGTTAGAATATGATCTTTCCATAATTTGCATTTCATTTATTCATGGTACTTAACTCATTGGTAAGACTCAATGAAAATCACTGGAAGACAAATTTTATAACTAGTGTTTCTCGTAGCATGGTTAAAATTAACTGGAATCAAAAGATTAAGCAGCAAAAATTAAGAGAAAATTAATTTGATAATTATTATTTTAAATAACTGAAACAATCAATAACTCTTCATGATTAAGGAAGGCACTTTACAGTGAATTTTATACTAAAAAGTTTTTAAAGGGGGATACCAGTGGGAGATGCATAACTCCATGACATTATTAGCATATAGAAAGAATCAAAATATGCCATCCTCCCTCACAAAATGTCACTGTAGTGCTGAAAGCAACTGAGAAGCAGATGCAAGAAAAAGTCCCTATCCTTCTCCTAGTCACCTAAAAGCAGATATAGATTTAAAAAGGTGCCCTCCTTCTCCTCTACCAGAACTTAATTACTAGAGAGAACTCTAGACATTCATCAGGGCACAGAAGGCACCAGAAATATCTATGTAACCAACTTATTAACTAGTGCTTGTCTTCAGTAAGTTTCCCATGTAGTACCTTTCTCCAGTTCACTGCCCTAGGCACTTGAAGTCCTTTTTTTGCTACTTCTGTAAAAATAATTGTTCTTTTTGTTAAAATGCTATATATACTCCAATACTGTCCACTCATTTGAGTTACTCATCCAAGTGTTACAGCTTATATGCGCAATGAATAGGTTAATGAACATGTTTGGGTTTCTCTTGTCTTTTGCCAGTTCAATTTACAAGACCACAGCTGCAAAAACTAGGCAGGTAGAAGGAAAATAATCAAACACAGAATGCTTGCTTTCATAAAAATCTGCTGCTTACAGATGGACAAAAAACACATTAATAAGAGTGGATGTAAGTCTCCAGACAAGTCTAACATTTAAGTCCTTACAAGCTTGCCTGTATCATATAAATATTTGTTATTATGTTTTCATGAATTAAATGATTAGTGGAGGGCAGGGGGTTACCCTGTCCAAGCACATAGGTTCATTCATCTCATGTTCACTTTTTGCCTGCTTTTTAACTCAGACAAAATTCACTCATCTGCACTTGAATTATTACCATGTGTACAATAAAGGCGCTCATTACGCCTGCCAGCGGGGCACCTCCAAAGTGTGCAGAAGTTAACACACATGCCCTCAAAAACACTGTGAGATTATTTAGATGCTTTTTAAAAACAGATATAAAATGCAGGTAGTAAGTCTTACCACTTCAAAGGACTGTATTCTACAGGAATTATATCAAAATTTATTCCAGCTGAATTACTCAATTACTAATCAGATTTGAATATTATTGAGTATTATATATTTGTATCACTCTTCGACCTTAGTAGCAAATACTGGGATACTTCTTTGTTTTTTTCTCAATTTAGACTGCTTAGGGATTTTGTCATATAATTAAGAAAATGATAGTATATATACATAGATAAAAACCTAAAACTTTCTATTATTTTTAAATAGCCAAGATCCGCCATCAACATAAATTCATTTAGAAGATAAAATCTGCCATTTGTTTGATACTTTAATAGTTTATTTTTAATTCCACAAGTGAAAATGGCAGAATGTCCTCTCACAATTATTAAATATATCCACGCTGTATACAGCAGAGCAAGAGTGGCTTAATTTGCAAAAATTAGTAGGATTCTGTTACTGATTTGAAAAAGTTTACCATGATTTTAAACGTCATAGAGTAGCCAGGACTGATAGCACAGGCCTCTAATCCCAGCACTTGAGAGGCTGAGGCATTAACATGGCAGTAAGTTCAAGGCTAGGCTGGGCTACACAGTGAGTTCAAGCCCAGGCTAAATTACAAAAAGTCAATCAATCAATCAATCAAATAAAATAAGTGTCATAAAAATGATGCTAAAAATAAGGACACTGTTTAACATTAGAAATTTTTATCTTGAAATATTTTACTTCTACATGAAAAAATACATCTACAACAAGATATATGATAGTAGTCAAAACCCATCCTAATTTTGTCAAGGCAGTTTGTGAAATGACCATGAAATAGGGCTACAACTTGAGGGGATTGATTAGCACAACCATCCTGGTTTATGTTTATGTCTGATGTCTTTCTCATTGGTTAGTGCCTCATGTTCAGTAATTTTAAATATTACTGGTTTTGACAGTAGAGCATCATTGCGCCCAAAATACCCATTTGTCTTTGGGCAAATTCAAATTTTTTAAAAAAATCTCTTATTGAAAAGAAAAGGAAAAAAATCTCTAATATGAAGTCATGTTTCTTTCTAGAGCAAACAACACATGCTAAGTCTGCTGATGGCAGAACAAGGTGCAGGTGTCATTCTGTGCCTTCCATGGAGAACTCACTAGGTAATACAACACGTGAACTTTAGGACATACAACTCACTGTCAGTCAACTCTGAATTATTACAGTTTCAGAAAACCAAGCAAATGAACTTTATGAAAAAGGACTTTAATATAGGAAAAAAAAGGCATGATACTAAAGCTGGATAGAGTGGTTTGTTAACCACCATAACTACTTCAAACAAAAACAAAGACAAGGTAATCCCTACTGAGCACAGTGATGTATAGTTCATTCTCTCTGTATCAACTCGATGAACCTTTGGTAGAATTCTTCAATAATATTCTCACATACCTTGCTCCTGATGAATGGTGACCAAGTCCTTATAATTTAAAATTTAATAACATGTAGATAAAGCTGAACTGAGACTTACAGACTTTTCTCAGTCCACAAGTACCAACTTATGAAAGTTCTGCTGAATAATAATGGCAAAGCTCATAAATATTACATTATACCTCTTCTTGAAAGATTAAAGAATTTGGGAGTATCGACTGATATTTAAAACATTTAAGTTAATCTACTATGGTAATTGGCTTTGTACTTTTACTACTGGGACCTTTTGTGTGACAGAACTTCTCTACCAAGCTCGTTCAAAAGTCATAATGTAATTCTATTTTCAGTATGGCAGAAGAATTTAATGGGAAATATATATCTTGACATAAATGGTGGAGTGATTAAAGGTCTTTTTCATACCATGCAGAAAAAAAATAAAGTTTATTTTTATATATTTTTTCTCATTTGGTTATAACTAACATCTTGTGACAATTTTTCGTTCTGCCCACAAAAATTCTTCAAATCATCTGAACACTTCCCAACATAATGACCGAAATGACTAACATATTTTAAGATCATGTCAGTTGCACAATGTTGACCCTCTCTTATCTGTCGTATGAACCCTTCTTTATTTAGCTCACTGACACCTTGTATTATAGGAACTGTTTGTTGCAAAAAGGCACCTCAGCGACTTACACTTCACAATGTGGCTGTGATTTCTGAACAAAATTTTTGAGAGCAGAAAAGTACCAGTAACTTCTATTTGCCCCAATATAACAAATAAACACATGAATATAATTGCCTTATAAAACATAATTAAGCAGATTTGCAGACAACAATAATATATGCAATTCTTAATTTGGGAAACTTACTGGTATTATCTTGAATAATTGGAATATAGGTACAATGGTACAAATGCATATTACTGAACTGATACCACAGAACCTAACAAAAACCTTCTGTTAGGGAGCTACCTACACCAACCTACTGAGGCAGAATACGCTGTATTTCCTCTCAGAATATGGTTTATCTGAAATAGTTACTAACATGTCTGTAATCTGACATACTATCACTTGACCTTTAGGGATAGAACAACCATCTCCCTCTGTAGTGGAAGGGTTGTTGAAATAACCTAATATGTTACATTTAGATAAAAGTTCACGTGTAACAAGTTACCACTACCTGAGATGTAAGAAAAAGTAAGGTAGAATCCAAATATCTCCGCATTGGCAGCAAGGTCTTTCCTGATACTCCAACTGTCTGACTCATTATATCTCATCTCCTAACATCTTCCTCCTTGCTCTCAGATTTTCAAACACACTGCCCTTTATTCAGGCCCTAAAATGTATCAGGGTTCAGACTGCCAAAGACTGTTTGCAAATGTTCTTCTCTCTACATTAAAAAGTATCCCACATCTACTTTTTAAAAAATTAATTGTATTGATATGGTTAATGCATATAATATAATGACATTCATTGCTGGAAATCTGTACCTTTATATAAACAATCTTGGTTCTTATTTTTTCCCCTTTCCCTTGTCCTCCCTTCAACCCCTCCCTCCTTATCTACAAAGACTTTGTTTCCATTATTTTTCCTTTTCTCATATTAATTTCATTTCCTTCTTTCCTGCCCCCTACCCTTCCATTTCCCCTTCCTCTTTGTCCCTTTTCTTCCTATTTCACATTATCTATTATACCTTTTAGTCCTCATTTACACTTTCAGTTTCTCACACTAGAGAGACTATTCAGTATTTCCTTATAGTATATCATATTCCTAGATGGAGACCTTTGCTTCCATCAAAAAATACACAGGGTTCACTCTGTTCTCAGTTTCCTTGACTGTGCAAAAGCTTTTTAATATGATAACATCTCACATGTCGATTATTTTACTTTCTTTTTGATTATGGTTTTGTTCACAAAGTATCTGCCGAAACCTATATCTTCAAGAGTTGTACCTATTCTATTTTTCAATAGATTTAGTGTTTCCATTTTAATATGTAGGTCTTTAATCCATTTCAATTTGAGCTTAGTGCATGGTGACAGATATGAGTCTAAATTTTATTTTATTTTATTTATTATTATTATTATAAAAAAAACAGGGGATTGAACTCGGGTCCTTGCGCTTGCAAGGCAGGCCACCGAACCGCTGAGCTAAATCCCCAGCCCCGATATGAGTCTAATTTTAATCTTTAGCATGTGGAAAGCCAGTTTTTCTAGCACCATTTATTAAAGAGGATATCTTTCTTCCAGTAGAGGTGTTTGGCCCCTTTGTCAAAGATAAGGTTACTGTGTTTATTTGGAGTTGTTTCTGTATTTTATAATCTGTTCCACCGATCCCAGATTTTTGTTTGTTTGTCTTTACCAGTGCAATGCTGTTTTTATCACAGCAGCTTTTCATATGAGGAATTATGATGCCCTCCTACCTTACCTTTGTTACCCTCAAATTACTTTTACTATTCTAGGTCTCTTCTAGTGCCTAATGGATTTGAGGATTTTTTTTTTTTTGCTAATTCTGTAAAGTATATTGGTATTTTGATTGAGATTGCATTGTCTGTATAAAAAATTTGGAAATATGGTCATTTTTAATATATTGCTACTTCATACCAAAGAACAAGGGATATCATACCATTTTCTGATGTCCTCTTTGATCTCTTTTTCAAAGTACTGTACTTTACAATGTAAAGGTCTTTCACTTTCATTAGACTGATTCCTAAGTATTTCATTTTTTAATGGTATTATGAAAAGTGTGCTATCTTTAATTTCTTACTCAGTGAGTTTATCTGTTTACAGGAATGTTACTGAATTTTGAGTGTTGACTTTCTATCCTGCTATACTGCTGAATTTGGTTATTACATCTAAGTCTTTAAGTTTTTGAGGTTTTCTATGTAGACCACCATGTCTTTCATAAATAATGATAATTTAACTTCTTGCCTTCCTATTCTTATTCCTTTTATTTCTTCATTTTTTCTAATTTATCTGGCTAATGTTCCCAGAACTATGTTGAACAGAAGTAGTGATAGTGGACATGCTTGTATGTTCCTGATTTTAGAGTGAAAGTTTTCAGTTCTTGACCATTTAATATGGATATTTGTTCAAGGTGGCTTTCATCAGGTTGAGGTAAAGACCATCTATTCCAATTTTCTGTAGCGTTTAGCGTGAATGGGTCAAATGCTTTTTCTGCATCTATTGAGATAATCATGTAGTTTTCATCCATGGTTCTATTAATATGGTTTATTACATTTATTGATTTGCATATGTTGAACTATCCATACATCCTTGAGATGAATCCTACTGGATCATGGTATACCATTTTCTTGATGATTTGCTGCTTTCTGTTTGCTAATATCTTATTGAGGATTTCTTTTGTATATTGACATTAGGGAGATTAATCTGAAATTTTATTTATTGGTTGGATGCTTCTCCAGTTTTGGTATTGGGGCAATGCTGGCCTCCAAGAGTAAGTTTAGTAATACCATTTCCCTTTCAATTTCATTGAAGAGTTTGAGGAAGAGTGGCATTAGCTCGTCTTTAAATTTCTTTTAGAATTTGAAGAGAATCCATCAAAATCTAGGCTTTTCTTTGTTGGTAGGTTTAATTACTTCTTCAATTTCATTGATGGATAATAGATTATTTAGAATTTTTATATCTTCTTGACAGAGCTTTAGTAATTCATATATATCAAGGAATCTGTCAATTTCTTCTGTGACTTTTATGTTATTAAAACACAGGTTTTTTATTGATGATCATCTGGATTGCTGCAGACTCTGTTGTGATTTCACCCTTTCCATTTTTAACTGCATGAATTTTTTTTCAATAAGGTTGGAAAGGGTTTGCTAACTTTATTTAATCTTTTAAAGCATCAAATTTTTGATTCACTGATTCTTTTTATTGTTTTCTTAGTCTCAATGGTATTAATTTCTTTTTTCAGTTGCATTAATTTCTGCTGATATTTATATTTTCTTCCCTCATAAAAACTTTAGGCTTAACTTGTTCTTTTTCTAGAAGTTAGAGGTTCAACATTAGTTTTTTTTTAAATTAAGATCTCTCTGTTTTCCTAATGTAGGAATTCACCACTATGAATTTCCCTCATAGGACTGTCTTCATGTCATCCTAAAAGTTCAAGTATGTTTTAATGATATTAAACGTTTATTCAATTATAGAAACTATTTAATTTCTTCTCTAATTTCATCTGTGACATTTGTTTTTCAGGAGAGTGTATTTAATTTACATGACGTTTTGTAGTTTCTGTGGTTTCTTTTGATTTGCAGTTTCATTGCACTATGTTCTCATAATATGTAGGAGATAATTTAAATTCTTTTGCATTCACTTATGCATGTTCTAGGAGCTAGTATGAGATCTGTTTCAGAGAACAGTTGAGAAGATATATACCAGATATGGGGTGGAACACTCTTCAAACTTCTACAAAATCCATTTGTTTACAAGTTTGGTTCAGTTCTGACATTTCTTTGCTCATTTTTTTGGTCTATTTGATCTATTGGTGGTAGTAGGGTATTCAGGTCCATTACTACAACTGCATTAGTGCTTA